TGAGCAAAACAAATCAGTTTGTTAATTAGTGCCAAAGAAAATATCAAAAGCTTGCTAAAAGATATGATAACTCAAAACCACGCCCTCCATTGTAATACAGAACACAATACTGGCTGTTGGTCAAACATTGACTTTATTTATGGCTGCTCAATAAAATTATGGAAACGTTAATAGCCCTTTTAATGTTTAGATTCATGTAGGATCTAATTTTATAGATATAACAGTATAAGTGTTCACTTCTCGATAAGCACTGGCAACGTCAGCTGAGCTTCAAAGGTTTTCTTGAGGTGAATTTCGAACATTTAAACCGAGCACGGTAGCCTAGTGGTAGAACGTTCGCTTCGTGATCGGGAGGCCCGGGTGCGATGCTCGTTTGCGGCGCCGCGTCAAACCTAAGACGTAAACATAGGTAGTGACTGTTCCTTCGCCAAGCGCTCGGCACTAGAAGTGAAAGTCATGGGTCTTTCGGATATAACCTTAAAGTTTCGTCAAAGGTTAACAGGTACAAAAATTTATTTTTACATCAGCCCCGAAACTATGTGACGTATAAAGTTCAAACTTTTACAGTTTATTTATTTTTCATTGGTTAACAGATAGAAAGTTTCACTTGATAAAAAAATTACTTGGAAAAAATATTAATTGAGAAAAATTCTTCTTAAAAATGCATATATTTTCAAAAAATACACCTAATTAATTCTGCGCTCTTAATGAAAACCATTATTGCAGAAACAAAATATGCTTATCAAATAAGGGCAAGTTGGACTTGGATAGCCTCTGGAAAGTTGTTTTCCCTGTTTATTTTGTCCAAATGTTAAGACTTGAAAGTGAAAGTATACATTGCAAATGGCGGATTCTATAGGGGTCTTGTTTTTATACATGTCATGCTTTCAATAACAACCTTCAGAGACCATTCACATCCAACTTGCTCTTCAATGATAAACATACATTATTTCTGCAATGATGGTTTTCACAAAAAAAGACAGAATTAAGCAGGTGCATTTTTCTTTAAATATGCACATTTTCTGATATAATTTTTCTAAAAAAATATTTTTTAAAAAATATTTGTTATCAAGTGATACTTTCTATCTGTTAATCAATGATATATTTATAAACTGTAAAAGTTTTGACTTTATACCACATATAGTTTTGGAGCTATTGTAAAAATAATTTTTTAGACGTGTTGACCTTTGACGAAACCTTAAAAACGTAGATCCCGTGTCACGGTAGGCGTTGGCATGTTAAAGAACCCTCACGGCTCAATGGACCTGAGTGCCGATTTTTTGAAGCCCTTCACCGGCAAACGGTGACGTCTCCATATGAGTGAAAAATTCTCGAAAGGGACGTTAAACAATATACAATCAATCAATCGAACATTTAAGGAATGAAACATTATACACCTATTTACTGGCTATGAGGACAATAGCAAGTTTATCGTCCCCCAAGACAGAAACTATTTCCCGAGGCGCAGCCGAGGGAAATAGTTTGCTGTCGAGGGGGACGATGAACTTGCTATTGTCCGAATAGTCAGTATAAATAGGTGTTTTATTATACCGATGCTGACTTTACTTTTGTTACGTCATAATATATACGTCACAATCCATGTAAAATCAGAAGTTTTCAGAGATGAAAAGCGAGGGAAATCGATTGCTGGCGTTGAATAGTTTGAGGACTATTCACCATGGGCAAATAGCACAAAAACTATTTCATGGTAGAGACTGTTTAGAAAAAATAGCATGTTTATTCGTCTTATTTTTATATAGAAAAAATAAACAGAGGTATAATAATTCAACTTATCTTATACGATATAACATATAACTCAGGGCAGTTGCCATTTACGCTTTATAAACCGCAAAGCAGTTTATAAAAAAAGCGTAAACTGTCCCAAGTTATGTTATATCGTATAACATAAGTTGAAATAAGATTAATTCCTTATAATTTAATTTTTATGTAGACAATGAGACAATTTTTATTCCAGAAAAAGGCTTGAAATTGATCATATTTTAAAAGTAACGTCACGAGGAGTAATACATTTTTGACATAACTCATTGTGACGAAGGCAACTTATATTATACAAAATGGATTAAATGTTTTACCCAATCCAATGACGTGTTACAACTATAATTAAATTATTTTCAATGTTATTCTCAACTGCAAGCAAAATTTTTATGAATATTATGTTACCAGCATGAAGAGAGAATTTAAAATGCTTCTGTTTTGACATTTCTGAATCTGGTACATGTAATTCTATCCTAATTCATATAATTTGCCTAAAGAGAGTGTCTTGATATCAGCTCTGTAGTTTAAAGTCATCATTTCGTAAGATCTTTGGTCGATACAATGAAATTGTCAGCAAATACAATTTATCTTTGAGTTAAATGCTGACTGGCGTTTTTCATTTTAATTATTAGTCCATTATTTGAACACTGAATTGACGACGGATTTTACCGTTATTTCCAGATCATCACAAGGAGCATGTGGCGGGTGTGACCGGCCAGCAGGGGATGCTCACTTCTTCATGGCACCTGATCCCACCTCTGATGTTTCGGAGGCCCATGTTTGCTCAGCTCCTCCTGTTCGTTATCTCTATATATTTCATTGTATGTTCCTAAACAAAAGCAACATGCAATCAAATGCAGATGAAAATATTGCAAAGGAATTATGAAAAATTATTTATCACCAGGTATAATTTGCATAATTTTTGAAACCGTCTCTCTTGGATGCGCACAGTACATTAGAACTATAAATATGCTCACCTTAATATTGGACAATGTTTGAAAAAAATACCTTGGCTATCACCAATTTGTCCTTCTCCAAAATTCCAAGGTCGGTTGTTCTCCTCTGTGACATGTTTTTGATATGACGCTCAATTGATTATTTGGTCATATCTGACGCAACTACATAATGATTGTTTCTAACTCTGAGAAGTTGTTTCAACATAACAAGAAATCTCATTCACAGTATACATTCCATACTCATCTATATTTCATCACAAGGTAACAATCCTTGGTGTATTTGATTTATATAGATCTACTGTACATATTTTCAACCAGTAATTTTATAGCTAATTTGCTTCTTTCAGTATTTTCCCCATCGTATTAAAATGACATCGTACAAAATGTGTCTCTCCTGGGGAGGGGATACCTTTTTTAAAATATAGGCAAAAATGTAGTAACTATTCTCTGCAAAATTGAACATCTGACAATTTTATCTGCTTTCTTTTTCTCTTTCAAGAATCTTCAGAAAAAAGCTCAGATTTGCTTCTTACAATAAAATTGTTAAATTTCATTTCATATTTTTTATATGATTTCAGACCTCAGATATGTGACATAATAAACGAAATTTACATCTTAATAGATAGATTCAATAAATATTTTAATAATCATGAGATGAAAATAGCTTCAATCCAAGACCTGAATCCCAAACCATGAATTGTTTTAAAATTCAAGAAAGAGGTCAGAAAATCTTCTGAGATCAAGATCAAGATTTCTTGACATTTCGAGGAAGGGTTGCATGCTCGCTTTTGAAGAAAACCATACTTTTTGTATTTCATTCTAGTTTATATTTACGTACAATGCATTATTTATTGTGTATAAAAACATTTTTATTTGCGAAATTTGCGATTTTACAGTATTCAACATTCACACACTTCAGAACAATGAGCACTAGTTAACAGGATAATACACAGCAATGGAAAAAGGTCAACTACATGTAGTATTTTTTATGTCCAGTAAGATTTATTTCTATTTGATGTCATTATCATAATTATTTATCATATGTAATTAAAAGAAATGAACGTCCTTACTTGTTTTTTAAAGATGAAATATTATTCCAGATTATTCAGACAATAACAAATAAATTCTGACTTCTAACTTGATTATTTCTATATCATGTACCTTTAAGTAACATGATGTAATATATAACATAATTACCAGGTATTCTATTAAAGTTATTCTTCCTTAGAAAGAAGGTCATATTCGATTTGACAACTCAAATAATTACATGTATAACACCTCAATCTAAATTTCAATTGAAGACACTCAAACTTTTCAAAACTGAGCTAAAACCTTTTTCAGGGTTAATAGGTGTGTAGTTTAAGTGTGTTCGGAAAACAAATCTAAAATCTCTGATAAAGCAGGCTATAATTCAATGCTGGTCTCAATAATGTATTAATATCTAATATAATACAACTAAATTTTTTGAATGAAATGCTTTGAAACTCATTACATAACATATATTAAAGTGTTGTAATACATGTCAAATAACATAATTGGCGCACACGTGCGCCTTGCTCTGATTGGCTGAATATGTCAAATCTCAATAACTCTTTTGTTTTCCTGTTGAAATGCTTTGAAATTTATAATTTTATAAAATATATAGAGTAACATGTACAATATGCTATTTTAAAGGATGAAATCACGCGCAATACTTGTGCGCTGCAATTATTAAATAATTACCTTTAAATGGCTATATCCCCTTTTTTTTTGACGAAATGCTACTGAAATTTAAATGATAGTATGCATTAGGTGTTCACTGCAATGAATTTGAAATAAAAAAAATACTTGCGGATTTTCACAATATACGTTGCGTCATGTGAAAATTACATTATTTTTTTTTCAAAGAAAATGATATGATGCACAAGATAAACAGCTATATTTCGAAGATAAGCTTATTTCTAAAGAACTTTCATGGGCATGATAATCGAAGAGAATTACAGGCTGCTCGACTGAAAAATTGAAATAGATTACAATCATGGAAAAAATAAGTTTAATCATTATTAAGATTTGTTAAAATCAGGTAAAATTATATAGGTTTAATTGGAAGTTGTTCCCATGAAGTCCAGTGCCATCACAATTTTTGTAAATACACTTGAATGATGTGATTTTAATACTTTTGGAATAAATATATGTTCATATATATATAATTATAAAAAAGTATTGTATTGTATTTTGATCATTATGCACGTGCATTTCCAAGGAAACACGTGCAATGTTAAAATTTGAATATAACATGTTTTTATAATTAAGCAAAAATATAGAACACCGGGTTTACTGTCCGTAAAAAAGAACACAAAATTACACATACATCTATAAAATTAAACATGTTTTTTTGCAAATATCCACTGTTTTATAACACTGATACATGAAATCGAGCCAGTTATAAGAAGAACAAAGACTCCTCATGAATTCTAATGCCATTGACGGTGAAAATAATTTAAGGCAAACGAAACACTCTCTCACTAAATATTGTCGAACCATTTTACATCTACTTTAGGATCCGACATTGGCACATTCACAATGAGAGGGGATTTCTACCGGAATAAATGTCACAGGGGGGTAATGCTGTAATGTATCGTCCCAGACAAGAAGCCAGTGGTGGCGGTATCTCTGTATGCAATCTCCTTGTCCACACTTTGTCTTTGGCCTGAAATTAAATCCAAAAATTTTATGAAATATATTGAGATAACGAACAGTATAACGGAATTCAAGCTGAAAAAGTCCATTAAACAAATTTTGGCAGAGGGCAAACACGGAACTCTATTATATCAGAAGTGGGGTCAGGTGCTGTGGAGGAGTGAGCATCCCCTGCCGACTGATCACACCCATGAATTTTTATTTTCATTCTCTCATTTCTTAAATATATATTGGAAAAATAACATTATCATCGCAAAGCAATTTCAAATTTTTATGCTAAAAATGCTGTATATTACAGCATGGTCTGTTTTGCCGAGGTATGTTTAATACACCATGATTCTTGAGGTGAATTTTTTTCCCAACGAAAACAGTTTCTTGACGTACAAGATATTTCAACAAAGATTTAGCAAACTACATTTATATAACGATATTCCAGAACACTTCACGTATGAATGAAGTAAATATATACATTAAAACTGGTTCTATTTATGTCAATTCCAAGAAAATATTTTTAGTGAAAATATAAAACAATTTTGTACTGGTTCTTTTTATTTGAATACTTACGGACATATTCCAGTGGGAACAAACTGATAGGCGTTTTGAAAATGAACCACTTTCAAAATTCTTTTGTTGAAGTCAGTTTTGTTAAATATTTCGAATGCATACTCCCTGAAATTAAAGAGAATATGGAAAAGATGACTTATTGCAGATATCATTATTTGTAGTTCTAATAAATACTTGACAGAAATTCAAAATTTTTTGCTGAATTTATTTTTGTAATAGTTTAATACCACATTCTTGCATTTTCAACCGATTTATCTTAATAAAAATAAAGATCAAATTTGATTAATAAGTTCCTAGAAAAATGAAATTCCTTAAGTTTACTTAAAATTTTACACCTTTTCAAAGAAATTTTACCACTATATCTATTTGAATAGACAAAAGTGAAAATTAAAAAGACTTGAAAAGCAGAAAGGATGCAAAACGTATTGAAATCTCTTCTTAAAAAAAATCAAGTTAATGTTTATGAAATACATAATAATTTTGATTAATATATTTGTTAAAATAAAAATGTAGTACACAAATTAAATCATGGAAAATTTGAATTTAGACATCATACAACAGAAATTCTATACTTTACAAGAATTGCATATGCATTTAAAATAGATAACAAAATAAAGAATATATTTTAGCAAAAATAATTAAAATATTGTTACTTACGTATTACAACAAGAGGGTATTTTCTTTTCTTTGCTTGTTACTGTGTGAACAGTATATGTTGTTAAATTCCCTTGAGTCTCACTCCTACCTCCAACTGGCTTTATAACCGGAAGGTCGTACACTTCCGTTGGCTTCACAAAAAGTCCTCTATAAAGTTTCAAAACAGTTCTTGCTAGTGTCCCTGCTGGTTTGCAAGGGCACGTTGCCTGGGACAACCAACCTTGATGGTTTCCATCTATAGGATTCGACACCAAAATCATGACAACAAATACTACTGGACACAGCGTCTGTAAATATGTGTAAATCATCGCCTTCACTGAAAACAAATAATCACACTGCGATTAATTTCTCTGATATAATTCACTGATCTGGCAACAGAAGAGAACACTTTTTACATATATCACTACACTATTCATATTTCAGTAAGCCTCAATTCGCGTTAAGCCTTAAGACAATAAGAGAGCAGTTTTGTCATATTACGAATCCCAGCTTGGATAGAAATGTAAAATATATCAACAGGCTTTCTGTTAAGTCACAAACCGTAACACCTTTAAATTGATGTCATTTTTATTTAAATAAAGTGATCATTTCTAATTTAGTTTTACAAAGCACGTTCGATGCATATCTTGTTAAAATTAGTTATCTATAAATCGGCATGTAATTTTCAGAAAATTAGAAAAGAAATTATGCATCAAAATCAAGCATGTTAAAAGAAGAAAAACTGAAAATTTTGAGGTATAGATTTGATCAATATAAAGCACTTGAAACGAAAGTATTATGTTATCAAATAATAACTTTTTTTGAAACATCATTTATCAAACTCATTAAAAAAATTGATTCTGAACTTTTTGTACAGATGTAGACCTAAACACCAATGGTGCTTGTTACAAACACACTTAATGATAAAAATAACAAATAAATTAAAATTATAAAAACACCTCATTTTTTTACCTGAGATTTTATTGCGATGTTTTATTGTTACAAATTTATTTTATCTTAAGATTTCATTTTTTTGAAACTTTGTTATTTTTTATTGACACTTACGATGAATTTATATTTAGTGCGTAAAATATTCCATGATAAAGCTGTTAACTTAAAATTTCATATATGAACATATAAGTTAGGATTATAACTTCGATGAGGTAAAATATTATTTGTTATGAACTTTATGTGCTCTTCTTTATTCTTTGCAATGTATCGACTCTGGGTCCCGTAAAGGAATATTCAGATAGAGAATTTGAATAAAAAATTGCGAATAAAAAAAAAAAAATTAAAAATTACTGTAGATACATATAAGATGTCAAAGGGAAATTTTTTTTGAAATTTGAATTTCTTTCTAGCATAAAATTTTGCATGATCATGATTATCTTCGCACTGGATGTTGGAAAACTTGCAACGCATTAAAAATTCACAAAACAATGAAGTCAGTAACATTCGACACGGAATTCCGGGAAACTATCAGCCTTTTTCTTGCATTGTCATAGACAATAAATTTTATATATCAAAATGGAAGTACCTGTTTGTCCTATCTTTATGTCATATACCTGCGCGATACCTTGTCAAACAAATATAAATTAATTACTAGTTTTTTTTTAAAACAGCTGTTTACTTGATACTTCCCATTCCGAAGTGTCCAAATTTATGTAAATTTGTCTTGCCAGATGCTTCGGTTTCTTTGTGGTTTCTGATAAGCTAAGTCAGTCATCGCACAAGTAATTCTTTATTTATGGTCATTATGACCAATACGTATTTGTTTCTCAAGAATCTCAATTACGTTTCAGGTGAACACTTTCTCTACATGTATCGTTTCAGATTAAGGTCTTAATAACACTAGTATATATTAAGATCTTTATAGTTTTCAAAATTGATCAAAACTAGAATAGCCATAATATTTGCTCGCCTGCTTACAGACAGTACGTCTTTGAGGGATTCTATTTTTTATTTCTCCAAACTTTGTAGAGGTGAAGCTATTGATAGAGATGTAAGAAAGTAAACTACAAACACAGCAATAATCGTTTTATGCTGACTTAAGGATTGAAATCGGCACAATTGCACGCATTTAAATGACCTTTTTGTAAGAGGAAGTTCGCCTCAGTTTGTTTTACAGATTTTTAAAATCTTATTTCCTGTTTTGTTTGTAAGCCCCGTGTCTTGAGCCTGTCTTATTTTATGAATGTCAAAAATGAAAAACTAATTGGAGAGAATATTAATTCAGTTTTATGTTTTCATTTTATGTTTTGAAATTACAAAACAACGAAAGATGAATTGTTTGTTTCCAATAGAAGTTGATTTCTAAGGTAATACATGTAATATTTCATTGGTAAATTTTACAGTAAAAATGAAAAAGAAAATATAATTTTTTAAAGAAAAGGGTTAATAGTGAATTGAGATAAAAATGTATACATTAAAAAGTTGTATCGATATGATCATAAAAAATCCTTTTATTTCAGTAAGTACAAAGAAATTAAATTCATACATTATTTAACTCGTCGTAAACTTTACAAATTAAAGGAAACTATCAGTTAAATATAAAAATAAAAAATAAAGGAAATGACATTATTAAAACATCGTTCTTTTCCAACGTTATTCGTTTCTTAATTCTTCATTGAAATCTGAATTGTAAGGCTAAGCTACACATCAATAGAAAATATTCCCTCTAGGATAAGGAATAAAGGTCATTTTTTTTTCATTTCCACGATTATTTCTAGACATTTATTGCTGCATTGCCGAACTGCAGGCAGCTCGTTTGCATCGTCTGCACTAAAAAAAATTCTATTTCAAGTTCAACGTTTCAATCCAGACTATTATGTGTTTTAAACGATGATACTAAATTTTATATTCAGAAACAGGTAACTATTATTATTTTGTTTCATTTCAGTATGTGTTTTTTTTGTTTTAAAACAAGTTCTTAAATGTATTTTGAATAAAATGGATTGGTCAACATACGTGGACACAATTCATATCATTTTTATCTACACTGAAGCTTTTTGAGCAAAGAAAGGGAATTGAAAAAAAATCGATTTAACAAAATAATGCGAAGGTCATTTGAATACTGACAAAAACCTTCTATTAACTAAAAAAATCATGCATGATGGATGCAAATGCACAACAGCGGAGTAATATTTTAAGACTTACCTGTAAGCATTCGGAGAAGGTCTTCTGTGTGTGATTTTTTCAACAGGGGGTTCGATGTAATCTAGGAACAGGATGACATAACGTTGATTGATGCTTCTATGCCCAAAGTCTTTAATTAGCTGAAGGAATTGACAGGTTCTAATCCTAGAATGGTAAAAAAAATTCACTATAAATTACTCAAGAAAAATCTAAAATCATTAGTTTGTAATCGTGATGAGGTTAGATTAATTAGATACATCATCCAGAGAATGAGTCATCAGAAATAGATGGTAGGGTTGACATAAAAATTTACCTGAGACAGCATGTATCTATAAATACAATAAAGGCGATAAAATGTTCATTGCTTTTTTTAAAAAATATCATTGATTGATTAAAAACAGTGTGTGTGGCAACAATGCTGATGTGCAAAATCAGACAGGAGTTTTATTTTGACAGAGAATTACGCATTTTATGACACCATATTTAGGCATTCTTAGAAAAATAAAAGTGCACATCATTTCCATCTAAGAAAATTTGAAAGCTATTATTGGAAGCAAAAATATACTTCTGGTAAACAAATCATAATAAATAATGCTTGTTGCAAGTTACTGAGATATATTAAATGAAATATAGAGGTAAGGCACAGTACCCAAGCTAAAAAGTCTATTGAAAATATACAAGTCCGGAGCTGAGCAAACGCAAACCTCTAAAAATCAGAGATGGGATCAGGTACCATTAATGAGTGAGAATCCCCTGTCAACCGGTCTCACCAGCTGTGTGCTCCTTGTCATGATCGAGAAAAATGAAAAAGCGTCGGTAAGCATTCGACTCAATGTCAAATTAAATTTAATGCTGAAAAAGTCATCGTATTGACCACGAAACTTTGAAAGAGACTGTGGATATTCTTGTTTCATGAACTTGTTTGTCGATAGCGTGACTTATCTTACAAATTATACGTAGAGCATACCTGTCTGACGGGTGTGACCGGTCGGCAGGGGATGCTTACTCCTCCATGGCACCTGATCCCACCTCTTGATGTTTTGGAGGTCCGTGTTTGCTCTGTTCCTATTTTGTATTGTTTATGGACTTTTGATCTTGAATACTACTCGTTATCTCCATATGTTCCATTTGTATCTTATCAGCCGGGAGATGTAAACCCCATATGCAGGTGAGTATGGTATATTGCTACTTATGTTAGGAAAATTGACGATAAAATGTTGAAGTCATCATGTTTAATATCAAACAAGTTTTACATAAGGGTACTGCTAACGTCTTTTTTAAAGTAAAAATTAAAATACGGAAAGGTGTTTCAGCTCTGTGGTAGCTTTAACATCAAACTGACTTGCATATATTGAGTCGAATTATGATAGAGGTAATTTTTGTTAATTGATTATAGATCTTAGATATATCGAAATTTCGAGTTGAAGGCCACAACATGGGTTTTTTTCTGTTGTATAAATTAATTAGTAACAAGGAAAATTCCGAGAGATATTGTCATGAGATCTGATCTCAAAACTACATTTTTGTCTATATGATATAAACTTGCGTATATAATCTGAATGTTTTAACAAAATATTTTTGCAAAGGTTAGCAAATTTAAGAGTTCTATACACATGTATACCAAAGTGTTTTGAAATGTTGCTTAAAACTAAACTATAAAGTTAGATTTTTAAGATAGAGAAAAAAACCGTTTTGGTGGTTTTGTATATTATGGCCTATTTTGTTTTGATGTGCCATCTTTTTGCTAACTTTTTCATATGATGTTTTGATTGTCTTGTCTTTCAGATACTTTTTTCTAGTCATTTTTGGGGGATCAGACATTATCATATTTTACGTAACTGATAATCAAAGCTTGTGAATCTGATCCCCTCCTTGTTTATTAAATTGTTTACATTTATACCGTCATTTTAATAAATGACATTAGTCATCTCTATGAAAGTGTTTTATTTGACTTATACAAAATTAGCAAAAACAAGCTGCGGTGAGCTTGCCTATAAGCATAAGAATACATAAAAATATTTTTGCAAAGGTTAGCAAATTTAAGAGTTCCATATATACCAAAGTGTTTTGAAATATTGCTTAAAACCAACCTATAAAGTTAGATTTTTAAAATAGAGAAAAAACCTTTTTAGTGGATTTGTATATTTGGTCAAATTGTGAGTGTTATCATAATTTTTCAATTGTTACATAATCTATACATTTATACATGTACCCATGTGAATGCACAATGTACTAGTGCATAATTTTATAAGGTGTTTTTTTAAATCTCGCTTTTTTTATATTTGAACAGTGAAAAAACTCAATACCGGTATAAAACATCATTTGTTTATTTCATATATATGTAATTTTAGTTGATAGAAGTTGACGATTGCACACACTTCAAAATTGCATAACCAAAACGTGTTTCGAAAAAAAGTTAATAATGTAAAAAATAACATTATCTCATCCAAAGGCTAATTAAATGTCAAGACAAAATATTTCAAGTAAACTGAAATTAAAATTAAATTTTTGGTTTAAAAGGACGCTTTTTTCTCACATGAATTTTATCTTAAAAGTGACTTTGACTTCCCGTAATTTTTGTGGAAGTCACAAACATTTGTGGTTTTCACGTACTTAATTAATTGAGAGTACAATTTGTTCCAGATATTTCTGCCTTATAAAATCAGCAAATATTTTAACAAATATGCTTAAAATGCAAAAATTGATTGCAATTAAAAGCACAAATAGTTACCTTTTTATTTCTTTCTTTTAAAAACAGCAATCATTTAACAAATATACTAAGCATGCAAAAAATCTTATTACTTTTAAAAATACAAATACCTTTTTGCATCTTCGAAGCACGTACTCTACAAGGCTGTTTTGAAATTTGGAATGTAGTTATGATAATATCAACCTATTAATTAAAAGGTATGACCTCTACAGATTAATTTCTTTTTCCATGTTATTCACCTTAATTTTTTACATGGTAAATATTACAATTATAATCAAAATCTGCTAAATTTAAAATTCATCAAAGAAGTGTATTCTAATTGATTTATGTGATCTTTGCCCTTTGTTAATTTTGGTGCATTTTTATGCAGAATAAAAAAAAACTATTTATTAATATAATTTTTGATTGCTGTGGGGCTTTGTGTCGTTGTTAAATTCAAGTATTTAATCAAGTATAATACTGAAATATTTTGATAACATCAATGAACATTTCGCTCAAAGTGATTTCGCGATTTTTTCTGCTTGATACATGTACAATGTCCTTGTCATTAAGTTCAATATATCATAAAGTCAAACGCTGATGGACATTTTTCATAGTAATTCTAAGACCATTATTTACAAAATGAAATGTCTACACACCTGCAATTGGCAGATGTGACCTGTCAGGAGGGGATGCTAATTCCTAAATGGCATTTGATCCATGTTTGCTTTGCTTCAGATTTGTTTTGATTGAATCTACTTTTGTTTTGATTGAATCTACTTTTGACCTTGATACTGTTTGTTATCTCCATATATCATTTCTCTGTGAATTTGTTTTTAATCGTATGGATAAAATCATGTGACTGAAGATCTAGATTTTTTTCTCCGATTGTCATGTATTTTATTTTTACGTACACATATGTAGATTTAATTATTTACCTTGCATATTACAGTCTTTTGAAATGACAATCAAAATAATTTTTATCAGAAGTTATCATGAAAATAAAAAAAAATTTGTATAATATGATAATTGTTTAACACATATTCATCGTTATTAAGTTTGTCAAAAAAAAGAAAAAGGAAAAAAAATTAATGATAATTAAAATTCCTAGTATTTATTAAATTTGACAAAAAGAATTGAAAAAAAAATTATCAATGAAATTCCTAATTTTTATTGTAAAAGTGAACGAAATGTAAAGTGTTTTCCTATTTAATCAAAATATTTTATAGAAAAAAGGGCTTCAAGTTTAGTTAAATTCAGTATTTCTAGATGTGGCTTACTGTAGTAAAATTAATGAAAAATGATCGATAATAATACAGACATAGGTTCATAAGATGTTTAAAAGCAGTTTTCTTTTTTTAATAAACCCTCTCAACATACGAACGCAAACAAGTGTAAATTAAATATATATAGGATTTCACATGATTTGTAGTTGGATATGATTTTTATCCAACGAGTTGTGTGTTTTATATCTTCAAGCCTTGGCGAGGGGATAAAATCACACATCGAGTTGGATAAAAATCATATCTAACTTCAAATCATGTGAGATTCTTTTTATCCCATGTTTTATACACCACAATCAATGTTTATCACTGTTTTTATATACGACTCCACTTCATTTTATATCACCATTCTAACGCAAAACCCATTGTGACGTCACAACTGTGCGATACGAAAACAATGTCATATAAGCTATATCAACGGGATAAAGGGTTAAACATGGGATAACAAATGTTTGTATAATGCATTATTGATATAATTGTTAATTGACAGCATCCTCCTGCTATCCATTATGTATATTGTTTAATTAATTTCAATCTTTGATGCATTCTATTTTTTACTACCATATATAAGGTAATAAATATAATAATTAATTCAACCATTACATAAAAAATACTATTATTATCCACTTTTTTTTTTAGAGGAAAGTGTCTAATTCTTATTATTATAATTCTTATTTTTGTTTACCTTTACGGAATAAAGAGTTTTATAAAGAACATTTTAAGGTCATTTTAAAGACTTTATTTATACTAGAAATTTATTTCATATGCGTAACTGTCCACTAATGTTAAAGTCAACATATGTGAGTATCGCTTAGAGAGAAATAGGCAATTATCATTCATTCATCCCGTTTCAAATAATATTGTGTAATATTTCTTTCAATTTTATACTTGATAACATACGCTGAGATTTAAAACTGTAGAATTCATACTCAAACTGATTAAGAGGAAGTCCGCCGAAAAACCAGGCAGGGTTGTATTAATAGGCGGCACATCGAATGTGACGAATATTTGAAATTTTATTGAAAACAATATCAATGTAGTCCAAATGGAATAATGTAATCGAAGATTTGTTTTAAAATTGCTTATTTAGTAAAATATCCTTTTGTTTCGTGTTCTTGAATTCCCCTATATAAACCATTGAATTTAGGTCAGAAACAACGAACTGTAATTTCCAATACTTATTTAACAGGACT